TGTAATTTATTAAAATCCTGTATTTTGACAAGTCTGGAAACATATTTTGTGTGTTTTTTTCATTATAGGGTATTATGCATAAAACAAGACCAATTTTCACAGCACAGTTTCACCCAGAAGCAAAAGGAGGACCAACAGATACAGAGGTAAAATACCCAAATGTGCTTTCCTAAATTTAACAAAAACAACAACAACTACTACTACATGTGTGTATATAACGAATATATTAATAATGCCCATATTCAGTCAAAATCAAAATCTTTGACAAAGTTGAGCTCAAAGGTGATGCACATACAAATACCTTGGTAAAATTTAGTATTTATTAAAACATGTTGAAAAAGCGACATGCAACTTTAGCGAATTGTGGTAAAATGACGTAATAGCGAAATGTTGATTTCGCAAATCTCTTGTCATTGTTGATTTCCTGTTTTCACAATACATGTACTTGTCTGTCGCGTGCCAAAACAAATGCGCAGTTATCACTTCCATAAAAACAAAGAAAAACTGTCAGCGCCCCGAATATTTAAGTTCTGGATTACTGTATACAAATCCCCAATTCTTGGCCATTTTGAATTTATAATAACGTCATCAGCGACATCTTGAATTAGCGAATCAGTTCTCTCGCTAAATTCGTTAAAAAGACATGCTCGCGAAAAAAACACGTTTTACAGTGGAGCATGCATCCCAGGCTGCCATATACAGACAGGTTGCTCATAGGTAACAATCATTCCATACCAGTTTCACATTTATTTTTGACTAGAGATAAGCAGTAGGAGTACCTAGCAAAAACATGCAACACCATGGTGCTGCCAGGACTCAAACTCACAACCCTGTGCTAGTGTCCATGATGCCTTGTTATTTAATAGAAAACTAAACAAGTTGTGCAGCTTATTAACATATTCATGGCCTGACATTCTGGCTTATAATTATATTATTGACTTATTTTTGGTATACAATGAAAGTCTGGGAATGTTTTAATCAATTTATAAATTTTCTTAAATCAAAATGACAGTTGGATTTTAAATTGACCAAGCCAGAAATGGTATTATACTTTGAGGAGTTCTGATAAATATTATTGATTTAGTTCAACATTTACTTGAGTGCATGTGTTACAGAAAAAATATTATGTGCATTCAAAACATTAAACATATTTTCTTTTTTTACTTATTTTAGTTTTTGTTCGATGCTTTTATCGATATGGTAAAAGACAGCAAGAAAACATTGATATCAGCAATGGCGCCAGCTGCACCACAACAGAAACTTTCAGATGTAAGTAGATAATCATTAAGTAAATATACTAAATCTTTCTGGTTCTGGGGAGAACATTTGTAGTTTGCAGTAGTTTGGTAGAAGTGTCTGTGTCTATATACTTAAATTTCAAGATGGAATATGTTCATTTAAATATAAAAGGATGTGGATACCATGTATATTGTTTTTTTTACAAAGCATTACATACGAGAGTGTGTTTGATAATTTTTTCCAGAATCAGAATCAAAAGGAAAATATTAATGTTTCTTGTCATTATGTATGTTAGTCAATAATGCTGAGTTTTTCCTGAGGATTAGTTGTTCTGAGAAATAACCAGCGTCGTGTTCCATAGCACCTGATTTTCCAACACAAAGTGCATTACTGTGTCCCTTACTTCTGATTGCTCAGGTTTGAATTGCCATAGTTACGTATATCATCATGCTAGCTTTGATTTGCCATTGCCATCTTTTTTTTCTGGGCCTGATCAAGTTAATGAATTTCATCATAGATTAAACAATCTCTTACAGATTCTGCTTCACTATGCAAAATAATAGAATATACCGGTAACCAAATAAGATGTTTTTTTATTTACATTTTTTGTCTACTAAAAATAACTGAACACGATCTTGCACTACTTTTGGGGCCTGGGACAACAGTATTTAAACTGATACAGTCACTTGATACATTGTTTCTCTTTCAGATTTCTAAAGTACTTGTTCTGGGATCTGGAGGACTTTCCATTGGACAAGCTGGAGAATTTGATTATTCAGGTTCCCAGGCCATCAAGGCATTGAAGGTATGTATGACTCAGTTTTGGTTAATTAAGAAATGATTTTCTGATCTGTGAACAATTTAACAACCTCTTTGTTGATACGACAGGACTTTTGAGGTTTTTATTATTATTATGGGGCAGTAATTAAATTTTAAGATTTATATTACCAGACAATATTTTAATTTTTATGATAGAATAAAGGTTATTGATTGAAAGTTTTTACTGTTTTAATAAAGTACACTGTTGCTGTAAAAATGTCATTCTAAACTGGGTCACCTACACTGTAGAGTTGAGAGTAATTATTAACGTTCTGTGTTTGTGTTAACCAATAGGAAGAAGGTATGCAGACTATACTAATGAATCCCAATATTGCGTCTGTACAGACCAATGCACACGGAGAAAAGCAGGTCAGTATCGTAGATAATTAGATCACTGTATTCTGAAAAATTGTATGTACGGTACTTCTCATAGTGTAACTTGCCATGTTTTTATTTGTTCCAGGCTGACAATGTTTATTTCCTACCTGTTACACCTGAGTTTGTGACCGACGTTATAAAACGAGAGAAACCCAATGGAATTTTGTTGTCTATGGGAGGCCAGACCGCACTGAACTGTGGAGTTGAACTGTATAAACAGGGAATACTTCAAGAATATGGTGTGCAGGTGAGAACAAA